TTGCTCAGCGGGAAGCCTGCTTCTCCCTCTCCCTCTCCCACTCCCCCTGCTTGTGTTCCCTCTCTCGCTGTCTCTCTCGCTGTCAAATAAATAAATAAAATCTTTAAAAAAAAACAAAAATCAAGAATTACCATATGGATTTTATTGTAGACATCAGTTAGCCCATCTTTCACAATCAAATCTTCAAGCTTGACGCCACCATATGGCGTTGCCCCTCTGTTCATGACGTAGGGAACATTGGACATGCTCTCCATCCCACCTGCCACCATCACATCCTGCTCAGCAACAAAAACAATGTCAACTTAAACAGGACCTACAACCCAGTACACGCACCACACAGCAACCACAAACAAGTTTCCGTGGACTTCATTAGGCCGCTACACAGCGAACACAGGAAGTACCCACTTTGACCAGGATGAAAAGAAACGGTCTGAAATGTGTCACGATAATTAAGAATCAGGTATTTATAAGAATGCCAGGATCCTTCATGGAAGACCGACCCTCTTGTGAAATTCTTCTAACCCTTCACTGCACTCAACACTGCTTTATGTCATGTCTTCTAAAAGATGACAACCTGTTCGCAGAAATAATCCTACTTCTTGGACTGAGATCCTCCTGATCAGCTTTTCCCAGACGGCTGTGATAACCTTCTATGGGATCCTCGGACACGCATCCTCGCTTCCACCCCGGAGGCGTCGACATGCACCCTGGTCACCTTGGGTAGAATGAGACTCCTCGGCCCTTCTTCCCGAAGGCTTCTCTCTCCCTTTCGGGTCAGGTCACCCGCACCTGCTGCAAGGTCTTCACAGACCTCGTGCTCACACACCCCTGCGCACTCTGCCCCACCCGCCAACCTGTGAAACACCGGTACTTCCTTTCAAACTACTCAAGACATGGCCATGTCGCACCTTCCCTGACCACCTGTGCCTTCTTGGAAGCCGCCCGTCCTTCTTTTTTGTTCCCCAGCTACTGGCTCAGGCGTTTATTAGTGCCACTGCCCTGAACTACAGCTTTATCTGCAGGGCCCATCTTCATCTTCACCAAACGCAGCTTCTTGCAAGGCCAGAAACCTTGTTCCATCTACTAATGAATATTAATCCACCTGTCAGTACAAACCAACAAAAGAAATCTGTTTGCATATAAGGGCTAATTTAAAAAAAATAGTTTAATATAAAACATTAATGTAAGCATTAAAGCCACAGCCTTTAACCAGGAGTAAAGACAAACACAAGTTCCAGACCAAAGAAACCTAAATATTTTTCTGGTTCTGAAATCAAGAGATTCTCAATTAGTTCTCAGATATGTTCTAATCCGTTAGCCTAAAATACTAAATATTCCCTGAGGATGATGCCAATAATTAGTGGCAGAAAAGAAAGTATCAATTATTCTTCAATACAAGATAAAAATGGCCACTTTCCAAAATATTTCAAAATACTTTGATAATTCAAAATATTTACTCCTAGTATTCCTTTAAGTCAGGTAATTGTACACATGCACAAATAATACCAGCGGAAAGCATTTCAGTGTAGTGCACACAGCATTTGCTGGAGAATCGCAATAAACCCACTGAGACAAAACTTTCCTCCTCAGTTTTCCAGCATGTAAACAATCTCCCCCAATTTCCACTCACTGCTCCGACAAGGGCTTAGTGACACCCCGTGTTGGTGTTACCCTCTGCACGAGCGAGCTCCCAACATTTGCAAAGTGTGCAACTGGGTACCACATTAATGGAAAGCATTTGAAAATATCCTCTGAAAATCTTCTGACTCAAATTCTCCTCTTAGTAATTTTACTAAGAGACCAATTTGTCCATGACGAGATTTTTAACATTCTGTCCACGGGGCTCCAGCGACCGTCACGGAGCAGGTGCGCAGCTCGCGGGGCAGGAGGAGGAGGATTCACGCTCGTCTGGCTGCAGACTTGCTGTTCTTACCACCACACTGCGCCCCCTCCGAGGCGTCGTTCAAGGATTGAGGAGGGTTTACCAAGATGCACGAGCGGAGCTACGCTTGGCCGCACTGCGTGAGATACTGAAGAAGGGGAGACACCGTACGTGTCCTTTCAATAAGGGCCTGGAAAACACGCTATGGCTATTCAGCTCAGAACACTACTTATAATAAAGTATCGGACACGTCAGCTCGACAGCACTCTATCCTTTTTTCCTCTTTGCCTTTCAACTGGAAACAAAGCCGGGGGGGCAAGAGCAATGGCAGACTAACCGTGTAAGCCATCGTTCACAGTCACCTCACAGAAGGCCCTCCTGTGTCATGCCCCGAGAGGCCGGAAGGCACTAGATGGGGACAAAGACACCCGCTTTCTAATTTCAACCATGTAACTTTGTCGGCCATGTCTCCACCCACTCGTCTCAAGCGCGAAAGGAAGGGCTTGGACCTGACCAACTCTCAGGTCCGTGGACCCGGGTCTGCTCTCCTCACGCCACAGCCTGGGCGTGCTGAGCGGCCACCTCCTGCGCGAGCTCAGGTAAGGACAAGACGGAACCAGCCCAGCCAGCAGAGAGCACGACTGAACAAAGGAGCGGGGCTACGGAGGAGCCACAGATCCGTCCTCAAGTCCGGGCTCTGTCAGTGACTGGATTCCCAAGGTCAGCACCTTCTGCTCATCCACCATGAAAACCCTCCTTATTCTGGCAAATACAACATTTTTCGTGTGTTGAGTCTCCCAGAATAAGACCAAGTAAAGGTCACCTGAAGACCAAAACCTCTTCGCTGAAAACTAATTTCTAACACAAGACACTCAAGCTACTATCTGAGCCCCCGCTTCAGTTGGAATAAAGCAAAGCCAGACACTCCGGAGCCTCGGGAACAACCCAGCTACCGACACTGACGAGAAAGAACCTCACTTCGAAAGCACAAATGCGCTTCGATTTCCAGTGTACTGTCTTTTAACACTGCGTTTTATTTGAGTTATAAAATGGAAAAGAAGGTGCTTCTTACCTGATGCCCACACATAAGACTCTGAGAGGCCATCATGATGGCTTTCATGCCTGAAGCACAAACTTTATTTACAGTGGTGCACGGAGTAGAAACAGGTAAGCCTAAAACCAATACAAACAAGTCCTACTTTTAAAAAGCGAAGATACGGGACGCCTGGGTGGCTCAGTCGTTAAGCGTCTGCCTTCGGCTCAGGTCATGACCCCGGGGTCCTGGGATCGAGCCCCGCATCGGGCTCCCTGCTCGGTGGGAAGCCTGCTTCTCCCTCTCCCACTCCCCCTGCTTGTGTTCCCTCTCTCGCTGTGTCTCTCTCTGTCAAATAAATAAATAAAATCTTTAAAAAAATAAAAAGCGAAGATACCCTTCAAACACACCTGTAGAATTTAAATTCATACAACAGGGCACGTGAAACCTCTAACCTGCAACAGCATCACTCCTGCCATTAGAGTATGCATTTAACATTGTATTTAAGCTGAAATGGCCTCCACCCTGCTCCACCAAACATTTGAAGTATAAAAGCAAACACGGATTCCCAGTACCTGCGCCCAGGGCTGCTTGCCTTGCTGGGGCTTGTCCTTCACCCCCTTGCAGAACGTTCCCCATGTACACCTCCTTCACTTCTTCTTTTGGAATCCCTATTTTTACAAAAACAAAACAAGCATTTCCATATTTTAGTCAATTTAAATATAATTAGTGGTTACCTACTAAGGTACATGATATTACACAGCAGGAACTGTTTCTTCTTCTTGTCAGCTCTGAGTTTCATCCTAAATGTAGTCCAAGGATTTCTTTACAAGGGAATTTAGAAAGGCAGGCACTGAGCGTTTCTAAGTGTTATGTATACAGTAAGTGCAAAATAAGTATTTGCTCCACTGAATCACTGCCCCCCTCTACACAAAAAGCAAAGCAACCGGGTCACCTGGCTGGCTCAGTCGGCAGAGTACATTCAAGCCCCACGTGGGGCACAGAGCTTACTTCAAAAAAAACAAAAAACCCAGAAAACCAAGTAGCGACTGACCTGCCTTTTCCACGGCTCCCTGAATTGCAATGGAACCGAGCTTAGTGGCCGGCAGGGAGGCAAGGCTGCCTAGAAAGGATCCAATGGGCGTTCTTGCAGCACTCACTATGACCACTTCCTGGCGAGACAGAGGTGGTAAAATGTGTCCATGTAAATACTTGATCCAAACCTTCTTTCATGAAAGAAACAGAATTCGGAGATGCGCAGTCATCCCAGCCTCAGTCCCCAGCCTCAGTCCCCCAGCCTCAGTCCTCAGCCTCAGTCCCCCAGCCTCAGTCCCCAGCCTCAGTCCCCCAGCCTCAGTCCCCAGCCTCAGTCCCCCAGCCTCAGTTCCCAGCCTCAGTCCCCAGCCTCAGTCCCTCAGCCTGCTCCCCAGGGAAGACGCTGCGGACACAGCTGCGCCCTGGGCTGTCTGCTCCACCCGCCTCCATCCTGGACACCCTGCTCCACACTGCACACCCTGCTCACCCTGCTCCACACTGCACACCCTGCTCCACCCTGCACACCCTGCTCACCCTGCTCCACCCTGCTCACCCTGCTCCACCCTGCACACCCTGCTCCACCTGCTCCACCCTGCACACCCTGCTCACCCTGCTCCACCCTGCTCCACCCTGCACACCCTGCTCCACCCTGCACACCCTGC